ATTTCTCTTTGAGATGTTTGGAAATATTCACAGACGTGAGATTATTGGGCCATCTAGTAGTTCTACCCTTAAATTTTTTGAGGAATCTCCATACTGTTCATCAATCTTTTATGGTTAAATCAAGAGTGAAATCAGACATACATAAATCATTTAAGTGGTGTTCTAGAGTCTTGTAACAGTTACCGATACCTGAAATAATTGGGGGGAGGGCTTCATTTTAAATCGTGGTTTCAGTCCAAGGTCAGTTGACTCCATTGTTGTGGGCCTGTGGTAGGGTAGAGCTCCATCAACACACAGGCATGATGCAGCACAGCTGCTCACTCATGGTGGCCAGGAAGCAGGTAAGATACAACCCTGCCTTTTCTTTCTATTGTGCAGATAATCGCTCCTGTAAACTTGGTGAGCATTCCTAAGACCCACCTTATTTTCTGCAAGAATTGTAGCAAGCACTGGCCCCACAAAGTAATACAGTACAAGAAAGGTAAGGTTTCTTTGTATGCCAAGGGAAAGCCCTGTTAATAACAGGAAACAGAGTGGCTATGGTAGGCAGACTAAGCGTATTTATTCCCACAGAAGACTAAAACTATAAACAGACTGGGAGACTTGAGTGTGCTGAGCCCAGTTGCAGATCTGAGAGAGCGCTGGCTCTTCAGAGATCTGAGCATTGTGGACCGGGAGGCAGTAAGAAGGGAACGGCCCAAGAGGCCCAGGTCTAAAGGGATTTTGTTACAAAGACAACACAATTGTGAGCTTTCATTTAAAACAAAACAAACAAAAACCAAGTATAAGCTTCAAGAACATGCCTCAGCGACCTGCTTCTTCCTTCCTTCCTTCCTTCCTTCCTTCCTTCCTTCCTTCCTTCCTTCCTTCCTTCCTTCTTTCTTTTCTTTCTTTCTTTTTTGAGACAGGGTTTCTCTGTGTAGCCCTGGCTGTCCTAGAACTCACTCTGTAGACCAGGCTGGCCTGGAACTCAGAAATCTGCCTACATCTGCCTCCCAAGTGCCGGGATTAAAGGCGTGCGCCACCACTTCCCAGACCTGCTTCTTTCAGCTCGGCCCAACTTCTAGAAATTTCTACTTCATAATGATGTCATTAGCTTATTTATCCATCAATAGATTAATCCATTCATTAGTTTAGCTCAGCATTCTCGTGATCCTTTAATCACCTATTCCACAACCAGAAGTCAATCCTTTAACACCTGAGCCTTGGGGAGACACTTCCTATTTGTATCAGGAAGGAAAACCTGAACCTACAAGCAGGTATAGAAAGGCTGTCTCCTCAGCTGTGACCCTCTGACTTTGTACCTTCCTATTAAAATATGCACTGTGGAATTGCTGCAAGGAGGTAAATCAACCTTTAAACTTGAAAGAATATGGAAAATTCATTATTTCTAGTGTTCTCTGTGATCGTTCAGGTTTTTCAGTGTTCCCTAGGTTCCTGAATAATTACCCAGAAGATTAATTATTAATAAATGCCTAGGTCTTAAGCTAGGCTTGTCCCCCAACTAGCTTGTAACTTAATTAGCCTGTGTATACTATTCTATGTCTGCCATGTAGCTGGATTACCTCTCCTCAGTTTCATATGTCTGACTTCCTCAGCTTCTCGATGGCAAATCCATTTCACCTATTCCCCAAGTTCCTCTCTCTCTCTGCTGGGTGTCCTACCTTCTAATTCTGCCTCAGCTTATGGACCATCAGATTCTTATCGACAGGTGATGCTTTTACACAGTGCACAAGAGTACAGTGCCCTGAGTTCAAATATTGGCATTTTATGTAGTAAAAACGTAAGTGGCTTTACTTGTTTATTAAGTAAACATTTTAAAGACAAGTTTTTACTTGCTTATCAAGTTAAAAAGTGAGTTATTTGCTTATTAAAACATGAACTTTAACTGGGGCTGGGGAGATGTTGGTTAAGGACAGTCACTGTTCTGCCTGAGGATCCAGGTTTGATCCACACAGATGATAGCTCGAAACCATCTACAGCATCAGGGTTGGGGGAGCCAATGCTCTCTTCTGGCACTCATACACATAAAATTAAATAAATTTTAATAAATTTATGCTTTAACATAATTTATTAGCATGGCCAACAGGATGTGGTTAAACTTTCTAGAATTTTCTGGACTTATACAATATCTCTATACTTTTCACACATGTGGATTGTACTATACTCAATATTTTTTTCATGTTTGCCAGTACTCTTAAAATACTGTTTGCCCTTGATATCCAGGGGTGATGGGTCCCAGACTCCCTGTGGCTATAAACTCTGTTCAGTTTCATTCACAAAAATGGACATAATGTACCAATAGAACTTTTATGCAGCCTCTCATATATTTTGAACCATTTGTAGTGCAAACAGTAGGTAGATAAATAGCTGTTATTTTATGTTTAAAAAATAATTGCAAAACAAGGAAGTCTGTGAACAATCAGTGCAGATGCATTTTTTTTTCAGATATTTTCAATCTGAAACTGGCTGAATCCAGGGATGGGGATGTGTGAAGATAAAGGATTGCCTGTGTTAGCATTATATAAGCCTTCTAGAACATAAATTCATATAATTATGTCTTACTGGGACAGTCCTATTAACAAGTACATAGATGTTTTCTATTTGAGCTTAAAAATGCTTTGATAAATATCTTTGCTATCTTGTCCAATTCTGCAAGGAGGATTTGTTCCTAGAAGCTGTTGGTCCTGAATCTATGGTTACTTTCAATTTTGGTATTACCAAATCAGTTATTTGAGCCATGATTTGTCTATCATTGCAAATAGTTTGATAATAACTTTCTCAAAGGGGGCTTTGTGATGTGATGGGGGCTTCCAGGCTAGTATACAGAAAGAAGGCTCTCAATCACTTTCCTTTTCCTGTAAGGAGAAAGGCAACAGCCTGGACTTCCGGGAAGGCTCAGCTGATAAGGACGCTGACAGCCACAGTCTCACTTTGACCCCCAGGACCTATGTGGTGGAAGAAGAGAACAGACTCCTATGAGTTGTCCTCTGACCTCAACACATGTGCAGTATGCATGTTCACACTCACAACTTGTGTGCTTGTGTGTGTGTGTGTCTTAGGGTTTCTGTTGCAGTGATAAAACACCATAAGCAAGAGTTTGTTTTGCTTACACTCCTGTGTCACAGACTCCATTATGGAAGGAAATCAGGGCAGAAACTCAGGACAGGAACCCAAAGGCAGGAACTGATACAGAGGCCATGGAAGAACACTGCTTCCTGATTTGTTCCTCATGCAACAAGGGCCACCAGTACAGATGTGGCACTGCCCAACTGAGCTGGGCCTTCACACACCTTTCATTAATCAAGAAAATACACCACAGGCACGTCTGAAAGCCAATCTGGTGGCAGTATTTTTTTCCCAAATGAGGTCCCCTACTTCCACCATGGCTCTAGCCTTTGTCAAGCAGACATAACACTAGCCAGCAGTAACACACACACACACACACACACACACACACACATTTCTGAGCCTGACTATAGCATTGACAAAAACATTCACAGAAAACTCTGTATTACCACTTAAACACTATTATTGGCTGTAACTTGCAAATTTTCTGGGCAGTAAAAATAATTTTTTTTTCCGGTGCTGGGGAGCAAACACAAGGGCTCATATATATGCGTCATTCATTGTACCACCACCAAGTCCCAGAAGCCACAAATTTGACAGCAAATTTAAATAACAACTTCCTGGGATAACAAAGTCGATTTTATTTGTCTGGAAGATACATCCTTATTATAAACAAATTACTAAACTATTGCACCAATTAAGCAAATCTTCCAGTCTCATCTTTTGTGAAAGTCTCACTGGTCAATTTAATTCATTTGTTTATTAATAAAACCCATACCGATCCAACTGTGGACAAACTACTCTCAATTAAAGATGTAATAATTCGGACTTCTCTTTTAACTTAAGGAAACCTGTTACGCCCTCAAACCTCTTGAGGCATTTTTAAAAGATCCAAAAGGGCAGAACGGGGTCATCTCACGTGGAGTCCCCAAGCGTCAGGCCCAGAAGCCCAGGGCAGATCACAGCCTCGGAGAAACTCCATGCAGGAGGCAGGATCTCCCAGCCTGGGAGCAGGAAGCCATTGCTCGGCCAGGGCTGGCTTGTCTGTGTGGCACTCTCGGTAGTTACCCTCAAGCACCCCGACCCCTCAGCAGCCCTGCCGTGGGCCCGGGATCCCAGGCGGGTGGCTCCCGACAGCTCCCGGGGATCGCCGTCCTCCCGCTCGCAGCGAGCCGGGCGGGCCTGAGGCGCAGTCCCCCTCGGCGCCGCGCCCCGCCGACCGCTCGGCGGCCGAGATCAGGCCGCGACCCGGGTGCCCGTCCGACCCCGCAGCCGCCGCTCTAGCCAGGACCCCGCACTCGGAGCCTCGGGCGGCGGGGTCGGGGCGGAGGCCGGGGCGGGCGAGGAGGCCGGGCTGCGGCCGAGGCCCCAGGCGCGCTTCCGCCGCGCACGCCGCGGTCCATGGGAGGCTTGGCCGGCGGGGGCGGGG